TTAACATTTGTTAATTTAACATCACTTGTTATCTGGAAAGGCTGGGAATTTTCACACCCATCAACTTCAGGCTCCTTTTCATTCAAATGGTTTTTTCTTTAACTTACCCTCTCCTCTTCAATTTTACTAATAGTGACAAGAAGACAGGTGGCACCTTCAACATTCTGTCTGGGAAGCTCCTTAGCTTCCATTCATTAGATGTATTTCCTACCCTCCACATTATTGCAGGAGACAGTGTTGCTAAACTTTCTGCCACTACACAAGGATCTCCTTGCTCAGTTTCCAATAGTATTTTCCTAACTGTTCTTTAAGCCTTCATTGCAGCCTCCTTAAAGGTCATTGGACTCTTATTAACAGACTCTTAAACTTTTTTTTTTTGAGACAGAGTTTCGCTCTTGTTACCCAGGCTGGAGTGCAATGGCGCAATCTTGGCTCACCGCAACCTCCGCCTCCTGGGTTCAGGCAATTCTCCTGCCTCAGTCTCCTGAGTAGCTGGGATTGCAGGCATACGCCACTGTGCCCAACTAATTTTTTTTGTATTTTTAGTAGAGACAGTGTTTCACCATGTTGACCAGGATGGTCTCAATCTCTTGACCTTGTGATCCACCCGCCTCGGCCTCCCAAAGTGCTGGGATTACAGGCATGAGCCACCACGCCCGGCCACTCTTAAACTTTAAAAAAAAAATTTTTTTTAGAGACCAAGTCTCACTATATTGCCCAGGCTGGTCTCAAACTCCTGAGCTCAAGTAATCCTCCCACCTCAGCCACCGAAAGTAATGCGATTACAAGCGTGAGCCACTGTGCCCTGAAAATACTCTGTCCTTAAGCTTTGTTAGTAACACTCTCCTCAAAGACCTTCCAGCTTCTTCCCACTTCTCAGTTGTAAAGTTACTTCTACATTTGAGGTTTCTGTTATGGCAGACCCCCATTCCAGAAACTGAAGTCTGTTCTCTGTTGCTGGGTAACAAATTACTATAAACTTAGCAGCTTAAAACAATAGTCCAGGTGTGGTGGCTCATGCCTATAATCTCAGCATTTTGGGAGGCCAAGGCAGGAGGACTGCTTAAAGTCAGGAGTTCGAGACCAGCCTGGCCAACATAGCAAGAATCTGTCTCTATTTTTAAAAAATAAACAAAAATAAACATTTATTATCTCACATAGTTTCTGTGGGTCAGGAATTTGGGATGGGCTGAGCTGGGCAGCCCTGGCCCAGTCTGTCATGAAGCTGAAGTCTGGATTTTGGCCAAGGCTGCAGTCATCAGAAGGTCTGCCTGGGCCTAGAAGCTCTGCTTCTGAGACAGGTTACCAGTATGATGGGGAGTCTGTGCTGGCTGTTGGCAGGGGCTTCAGTTCCTCACCAAGTGGACCTCTACCTAGGGCTGCCTGAGTGTCCTCACATAGTACTTCCCAGAGCGAGTGACCCCAAAGAGAGGCAGAAGCTGTGATATCTTTTATGACCTAGCTTCAAAGTCTCATGCTGTCATTTCTGCAATGTCCTATTGGTCATACACACGGATCTCCTCGGTGAGGAAGTGAATAGGTCAGCCTATTCAGTGTGGGAGGGGTCTAAACAAGAGCCTGGAAACCGGGAGGCAAGAACCCCTGGTGGCTCTCATGGGTGCTAGCTACCAGACTGAAATAGCTGGCACCGGGAAAACTAGCTCACCCTACGGAAGACAAAAATGAGCTAAATCCCTTCACAATTCATATTTACAAAAGTGAGCTCCATTTAGATTAAAATACCCATATATGAAAAAAAACCCATATTAAAAACTATAGGCCAGGCATGGTGGCTCATGCCTGTAATCCCAGCATTTTGGGAGGCCGAGGTAGATGGCTCGCTTGAGCTCAGGAATTTGAGACCCACCTGAACAACATGGCAAAACAGTCTCTACAAAAAAATGCAAAAAATGGCCAGGTGCAGTGGCTCACTGTAATCCCAGCACTTTGGGAGTGCAAGGCAGGCAGACCACAAGGTCAGAAGTCAGGAGTTTGAGACCAGCCTGGACAACATGGTAAAACCCTGTCTCTACTAAAATACAAAAATTAGCCGGGTGTGGTGGTGTGCGCCTGTAATCCCAGCTACTCAGGAGGCTGAGGCAAAGAATCACTTAAACACGGGAGGCGGAGGTTGCAGTGAGCCAAGATCATGCCATTGCTCTCCAGCCTGGGCAATAGAATGAGACTCTGTCTCAGAAAAATAAAAAAAAAATCAGCTGGGTGTGGTGATGCACGCCTGTAATCGCAGCTACTGGGAGGCTGAGACATGAAAATCGTTTGAACTTGGGAGGTGGAGGCTGCAGTGAGCCAAGATGGTGCCACTGCACTCTAGCCTGGGTGACAGATCAAGACTCTGCCTCAAAAAATAAAATAAAACTGTAAAGCTAACAAGAAATGGAGAATCAGAAAAAAATTTTAAACAAGGCCATAAGGATATGCCATTAGGCAAAAAATGGTGAGGAATTGGACTACATCAAAATCAAAAATTTTTCAAGTTGACAATGGAAAGCATGACTTTACAAATAATCTCATGTAATAACGTTGAAGAAATGATAAGAGTAATAGGTATTCTATGGCACAAATATAATTACTGGTTCAGGTAAGGATTATCAATTGATGTGCCATTGATAGGTAACCGCCTTAATTCAGTGGGCAAATAATACCATATGCATTACTTCATAGTTGGCAACAAGGAAATGTAACAATAATAGAGGGGCCTGTATCCAGGGGCCAATTATGAACGTCATTAATGACGAATCATATTAACAATATTACGGGTTACTCGATGTGACCTAATGTGAAATACATACATAACATTACCTAAAATGTATTCTAACCAAAACGTTTAATATCAGTAATTTGATTTTATTATTTTATTTATTTTGAGAAGAAGTCTTGCTCTGTTGCCCAGGCTGGAGTGCAATGGTGCAATCTTGGCTCACTGCAACCTCTGCCTCCCAGGTTCAAGTGATTCTCTTGCCTCAGCCTCTTGAGTAACTGGGATTACAGGTGCCCACCACCACTCCCAGCAAATTTTTGTATTTTTAATAGAGATGGAGTTTCACCATGTTGCCCAGGCTGGTCTCAAACTCCTGACTTCAAGAGATCCACCCACCTCGGCCTCCCAAAATGCTGGGATTACCGGTGTGAACCACTGTGCCCAGCCAATATCAGTCATTTTAAATCTACAGTCTGGTTTATAGGAAATTAAGGGTAGGGCTGGGTAACAGACCAACTGATACAGGGAGTAAACAACCAGGCCAATTTGGAAAGAGGTCACTGTGCAGGACAACTGGCAGTCTCTTTAACAAGCCAGCATCATGAGGAAAAGGGACCCTTGGATTATAGTAAAGTAATGCATATGGTATTATTTGGCCACTGTATTAAGGCAGTTACCTATCAATGACGTACCAATTGATAATCCTTACCTGAACCAGTAATTACATTTGTGCCACAGAATACCTCTAACTCTTATCATCTCTTTAACATTATTACTTGAGATTGTAAGTCATGCTCTCCATTGTCAACTTGCAGATAACCAGACGCAGCGTGAAGATCTAGACTGGTCCCTGGTTTGATGAACCAGGTATAAAAACACATTTCTGGAACAACTGGAGAAACTGGAGTATGCCCTGGACTGGACATTAAATATTTATTGACATGTAAAAATGGCAATTATTAACAACAACAAAAAAGCAGATTATAAAACATTTCATACAACATGGTTCTATTTTGGCAAGCAAACCACATACATGCACACATAAACTCACACACAGGAAAAGACCTGAAAGGATATTTGGTGCTTTTATTTTTTAGATTACTTATGTTTCTGAAATTTCTACAGTTAATAAATACCACTTCAAAATAATAAATGATTATTTTTAGCTTTAAAAAATCAAGGATTTCCATCCAATGCTAGATGCCATAAGCAGGTAACATTCTAAGAGAAAATATTGGCAATATCTACACTGATTAGATATTTTTATCTAGAACAGACTTTTTCAACTGGTGTTCCTCATCTGAATCTCAAAAACCAGCAAAGCTGGGCACAATGGCTCACACCTGAATCCCAGCACTTTGGGAGGCCAAGGCAGGCAGATCACTTGAGGTCAGGAGTTCAAGACCAGTCTGGCCAACATGGTGAAACCCCATCTCTACCAAAAATTACAAAATAATTAGCCGGGCATTGTGATGTGCGCCTGTAGCCTGAGCTACTCAAGAGGCTGAGGTAGGAAAATCACTTGAACCCCAGAGGCAGCGGTTGCAGTGAGCTGAGATTGCACCACTGCACTCCACCCTGGACAAAAGAGCAAGACTCCATCTCAAAAAAAGAAAAAGAAAAACAAAACAACAGCAAATAATTAGAGTATTTTTTGAAATTTGCTGAGGAGGGTAGACAGTCCCATTTTACAGGCTTAGAGGTTAATTTGTTATGTTGATAGGTAACTGAATAAGCAATTCACAGAAAAGGAAACAAAAAAATGCTAGTGAGTATATGAAAAGATGATGAACCTCATTAGTAATTGGAGGCATGCAAATGAAAATGAGATCACTCTACACTCATTGGATTGGCAAAATTAGAAAGCTGGATGATGCCTCGTTTTGATGAGGACATGCAGAAATGGGATCTCTTATGCACTGCTCATTATGAGGATAAAGTGCTATAACCATTCAGGAGAGCAATTTGGTGATATTTACTAAAACCCAGTTTGCAGGTGTCCTGTTATCCAGCAATTCTACCCCCAGCTACAATCACAGGAGACTCTGGCACAGAGCCAGAAGGGAGCACGTACCAGGATGCTCATGGTGACACGGTTTGTAGGGCCAGGAACTGGGAGGCAATCTAGGTCTCCAACCTCAAGGGAATATATGAACAAAATATGGTGAACGAACACCATAGATTCCTCTGCAGCTGTTAGAGGCAAAGAACTAGATGTACTTGGAGCAGCATGAATAGATCTTGAAAAAAGTGCTGAATTAAAAAAACACAATGCAACAGAAACTGATTCACAGCTTCAATGCCATTTATGGACATTTCAAATACACACATATGCAGAACAATGCTTTAGCTTTTCCAGCATATGTAACAAAACATTAGAATTGGATGGGTGCCCCTGGGGAAAAGAAAAGTAGGCAGGGGATTGGGAATGAAGGGGAAGAAATAAAATGAAAGAGAAAAGGTTTGCAAAGACCAATAATGATGATGAAATGCCACACTGAGGCGTGTGCCAAGCTGTGTGGGGTGGGGAGGGAGCTTGGAAAGGAGAGAGCAGGAGTACAGAAAAGCATTGCTCTTGGGAGGTTGATGGTCAGATAGCCAGGTAACCTGGGGTCAAATCTGAGCTCTGCGGCTTCCAAGCTCTTTGACCTTGGATGTATCACCCAAGCTCCCTCGTGTTTCTTTTTATGTCAAACAAGGGTACAAGATATATACACAAGCAGATAGCAGAATCTCTCTTGACACACTGCAGATACATGATAAAATTAGTAAATTTAAAACTACAGGCCTCACGCGGTGGCTCACACCTGTAATCCCACCACTTTGGGAGGCTAAGGCAGGTAGATCACATGAAGTCAGAAGTTCAAGATCAGTCTGGCCGACATGGTGAAACCCTGTCTCTACTAAAAATACAAAAAAGTAGCAAAGTGTGGTGGTGGGTGCCTGTAATCCCAGCTACATGGGAGGCTGAGGCAGGAGAATTGCTTGAACCTGGGAGGCAGAGGTTGCAGTGACCCAAAATCAAGCCATTGCACTCCAGCCTGGGAAACAGAGAGACTTTGTTTCAAAAAAGAAAAGAAAAAGAAAAAGAAATACAGAGCAGGAATGTACTTCTAAGATCTAGTTCAATCAGTGTTTCTCAAATGCAAGTGGTAATTTATTAATGGGTCATGAAATAAGTAACGGGTCCCAAACAGCATAAAAAGAAAGAAGATTATCAGAGTACATTTCATTAAAAGTATCTTTTTACAGAACTGTTATTTCAGTTATATATGAGTATTAAAATGCATTTTTCCCCCGATGGGACGCAACAAAAAGTTTGAAAACACGGATATTGTCCAGAGGAGTTCTATACCTTTGGGTTTCAAGAACCAGTAAGTATTCCCTGAGACAACAGAAAGTTGTTCAGACAGGCCACTTTTTAATCTACAAAGGGCATTCGAAAAGAAACTTTTATGATCAGCCAGGTGTGGTAGCACATGCCTGTAATCCCAGCATTTTGGGAAGCTGAGGCGGGTGTATCACAAGGTCAGGAGTTCAAGACCAGCCTGCCCAACATGGTGAAACCCAACTCTACTAACAATACAAAAATCAGCTGGGCATAGTGGTGGGCACCTGTAATCCCAGCTACTCGGGAGGCTAAGGCAAGAAAATCTCTTGAACCTGGGAGGCAGGGGTTGCAGTGAGCCGAGACCATGCCATTGCATTCCAGCCTGGGGGACAGAGCAAGACTCTGTCTCAAAAAAAAAAAAAAGAAAAAGAAACTTTTATAATCTCTTCTTACTATTGTATCATAAAAGAAAGGTCATTTTTAACATTGTAAAAATAAAACAGTATTAACAGGCTTTATGTAAAACTCATTACTTCGTACTTATTTCTCTCCCTTCACTATCTTTTGGAACATGACAGAATGCCAGAGGTAGGAATGGACTCACTGAAGGTCAATGAGTCAGCTGTGACAGGTGACACAGAACTCCTATGTCCTGGCTTCACTTTCCAAGCTCTGATCTTCAGAACCCTAAGGGGTCCACGGAAGTGGAGCCCAGCAGGTGGGGTCTCTAGAATCCCCAATCCTGTTTTACTGGGAGTGGCCCTGCTTCTGTGAGATTTCATTAGAATAAAGAATTTAACCGATTAAAAAAAAAAATTAGAAAGCCCCTGGGGGTTGGAAGCCATGGGAGAACGATGCCTCCCAGGATAGGACCAGATCGCAGAGGTTATTATATTTCAATTTAAATTTAGATGTTTTTCCCAGGTGACATGAGAGAGCTATTTTGGATTTCTGAGCAAGAGAGAGAATAGATGGGAGTTGCGGTTAAGGATAATTACTCAGGTTCGAGTGTAACAGCTGGACTGGCTGCATAGGAACAGTGGGAAGCAGAGAGCAGCTATTTAACCATTGCAATGGTCCTGGCATGATGTTGGGATGGGGGTGCTGCCTGAGGCAGCAGGAATGCAGAAGATAGCATCCCAAATTCTCTGGGGTTATGGCCAATCAGAGGCAGGCTCTCTAGGCCATACCCCATATCTCCTTTCTTCTGTCCTAATACCTGCTTGGGCAGCTCTCTCAGGAACATAGGCACCGGGACTCGGAAGGCCCTCACCTGCAGTGCCAGCTGGCAGTCGTCAATCAGGCCCTGAACCAGGTAGTAGCGTGCTTCGCCCAGCAGCTCTCCCAGTTCTCTGGTACTCTCTGGCAGTGGCACAGACCCGTCCCGCAGGTAGTTGAGGATCGTACCAAAGTGACGGCCACTCCGGTCAATCAGCACCCAACCTAGTAGGGTGGGGAAAGGCAGAAGGAAAGACGGCTTTGCTGGGGGACCTGGAGCTATTAAATTAAAGAAAAATTTTTTTGTAGAGATGGAGTCTCATTATGTTGCCCAGGCTGGTCTCGAACTCTTAGGCTCAAGTGATCCTCCCATCTCAGCCTCCCAAAGTACTTGTATTATACGTGTGAGTCACCACACCTGGCCTAAATTATAAGAAAAAACGGATTCCAGCTAGGCGTGGTAACTGACGCCTGTAATCCCAGCACTTTGGGAGGCTGAGGAGGGTGTATCACCTCACATTTTTTTAAGCTGTGAGGTCAGGAGTTCGAGACCAGCCTGACCAAGAGGGAAAAACCTCATCTCTACTAAAAATACAAAATTAGCCAGGCATGGTAGCGTATGCCTGTAATCCCAACTATCTGGGAGACTGAGGCAGGAGAATAGCTTGAGCCTGGGAGGCGGAGGTTGCAGTGAGCCGAGATGGCGCCGTTGCACTCCAGCCTGGGCAACATTAGGGAACACTGACTCAAAAAAAAAAAAAGGATTCCAAAGTCACAAAAAAGACTGAATACTAATCTGTGCCACAGCCAAAAAATCTCTTTAAAATATCTCTAGTGAGTTCTCCCATAAGTTACACATCCAGCCGGAGAATTAATTCTTCCATATCTGATCTACAGTCAGAAGCTCTTAACACGAACGGTCTTGCAGAATTACCTTATCAATAAACCTCTAACCCCCATGTTAATTCTGACCATCCTATTTAAAATGTCGACCTCCCTCCAATTCACTACCATTTTAACTTTTATATTCTTCATAGAACTTATCAGAAAAAAAGAAAGAACTTACTACCTGCATATTATGCATTTTTACCTGCTTATTGATCTCATCTCCCACCTCCTTAAAAAAGGGGACTTGCCATAATTTTGTCACGTTCATTTACCTATGTATCTCCAGCACTAACTGATATTTTACAAACACTAATTGGACAAATGAATTCGTCACTTTTTTTTTTTGATGGAATTACACTAAGTTGCCCAGGCTGGAGTGCAGTGGCAAAATCTCGGCTCACCCACAATCTCTGCCTCCCAGATTCAAGCGATTCTCCTGTCTCAGATTCCTCAGTAGCTTGGACTACAGGTGCCTGCCACCACATCCGGCTAATTTTTGTATTTTTAGTAGAGACGGGTTTCACCATATTGGTCAGGCTGGTCTCAAACTCCTGACCTCAGGTGATCCACCCACATTGGCCTCCCAAAGTGCTGGGATTACAGGTGTGAGCCACCGAGCCCAGTCAAATTCTTCACCTTTGATACTTGAAGGCAGATGTCCGCCTCCCAAATTTTTATCCTCCTATTCTCATAGTCCTTGTTAACTCCTCCCTTAAGAATCTCCCAGTTCCAAACTCCAAAACTTTGGGCATGTAGGCTCCAAACTTGAATGCGACACTCCAAGAAGGTAAGGTTCACCTGCCAATGACACCTGTCCACCCCTCCACTCTGGTGTTCCTAGCAAACCTAAAGCATCCTCCTTTTGTAATGTGTGTCTACAGGTGGATTCCTGGAGTGTACAGGGACCTGTGTCGGGGAACACAGAGGCAGACAAGATCTCCCACTTCTCTAGGCTGGCTGAGCAGTTCTGAGGCAGAGAGGGAAGCAAAAGGCTGGGCAGTTGGAAGAAACTGAGAAGGCTGCCAGGAGTAGAATTGCAGGCAGCAGGGCTAGTACCCAAGTCTTTAGCTGAGGGGTGAAGGGTGGGAGAGCTGTCATGAGGATTATGAAGTGACACGTTCAATCACTTACCACAGCGCCTGGCAGAATTAGGGGTTCCGTAAATGTTGGTTATTGCTGGGGGTAAAGGACTGGGGAAGAAGGGAAATTATGAATGAGAAAGGGGAGGAGATGAGATGTGGGCGCTGGAGGGAGCTGAGAATGAGTTGACCGGACAGTAGTGAGCAGAGAGAAGGGGCATGAAGAGCCCCGGTGGTGAGAGACTGTGGGGAACGCGAGTTGGGGGTCTGGGGATGGAGGCACGGTGGGGAAGCCGCTCGTACCTCCGGCGTCGGTCAGCACCTCCACACGGCCGCTGAACATGGCCTTGAGCATGGTGTCCTGTCCCGTGAGGGTGCGCAGCGTGGTGTAGTGCAGCGAGCCGCCCACGTTCAGTTTCACGTACTTGCTGTTCGGGGTCAGCGGCTTGAGACCGTAGGCGGCGGAGCCAGGCTCTAGACCCGAGAGCTTAGGGGTTTCTAGGGACGGGGCCGCGGCCGCCGCCGGGCCCGAGGCCTCCGCCGACATACCGGGTGGCAGCGGCGGACGGCGATCCCAGGCTCTCTCCGCGCCCTTTGGCCTCCTCCCGAAGACCCTCGGCCGCCCCCAGCCCTCGGGCCAGACCGCTCGGCATACACGCCCACTCGCCGCTGCTACTAGGCGACACCTGCCCGCCGCCCCATCGCGCTCGCACCACCCGGAAGCCGGCGCCGGGCAGCTGCGCAGGCGCGGCTCCGCCCCAGAGAGGGGGGAGGGCCTGCAAGTGCGAAGCATGCGCAGCGGGCTTGCAGGGGGAGCCGGAGCAACAGTGGGTTGAGGCCTGAGGGTCCCGAGGTGGGTCGATGTGCCCTCCCGTCTGGTCTGTAGTATGCAAGACCAGATCGAGGATGCTGCCGACCCCTGCCCAATGTGGAAAGCCAAGTCTCCGCCTCGTGATTGGGTCTCTGCTCTCAGAGAGCTTCACGAACTTAAGGGGAAACAGACCGAGAGATCTGGGCGTTGGGCAGTTTCCCGCCTCCCAGCCCTGCGCACTGAACAGACGGTGACGAGAACTGCGAACAAAGCACGGAGGGAAGCTCTTAAAGGAGGCCAAAGCGGCTGGGCGCAGTGGCTGACACCCCAAAACCCCAGCATCTAAGCCCAGCTACTCGGGAGGCCGAGGCAGGAGGATTGCTTGAGGCCAGGAGTTGGAGGCTGCAGTAAACTGTGATCGGACGACTGCAAGTGGGCAACATAGTGTCCTAAAAAAAAAAAAAAAGGCCAAAGGGGTAGCAGTGTTGCCCGGGCACCAAGGATGGAAGGCCTCCCAGAGGAGGTGATGCCGAGTTGAAGCTGGGAAGCGGCCATGTGGAGATGTGAGGGAAGAGTTCCAGGCAGAGAGAAGGCAAATCCAAAGATCCTCAGGGTGCGGTGGCTCATAGTTGTAATCCCAGCACTTTGGGAGGCTGAGACAGGTGAATCACGAAGTCAGGAGTTCGAGACCAGGCTGTCCAATATGATGAAATCCCGTTTCTACTAAAAAATACAAAAATTAGCCAGGCGTGGTGGTACACACCTGTAATCCCAGCTACTCAGAGGCCGAGGCCGGAGAATTGCTTGAACCCGGGAGGTGGAGTTTGCAGTGAGCCAAGATAGTGCCACTTCACTCCAGCCTGGCAACAGAGTGAGACTCCATCTTTAAAAAAAAAAAAATCTTCAGGCAGGCAGGAACACGCTCTAGTATTTGAGAGCAGAGGGTGTGTCAGAGGTGGCCACAGCAGCTGAACAAAGGTCTTAGAATCCCAGCTAATGTCATGGGACCTAGCACCCAACCCCAAAAGAAAGAAGAAAAGATAGGAACCCACTGTTGACAAGAAAGTGCACTGAGAAGTGTTTTTATCTGACCCAATCTGCATCCAGTTTAGATGCTGATACATCAGGGATTTAACAATCTGCCTTAATGTCTAGCAAGGGGGGTTGCTGGAGGGAAAACAGAGTCAGAGTTTTTCCTTCAACCCTGCCAGCAGGTCACTGGAAGATGCTAGAGGAATGACTTTTCTCTGGGCATGGCTGGTGTCAGGGATGCACATGCAGGAGAGTGCGGAGTGTAAATGAGTGACATGGGCCCGTTACTGGAGATAAACAAGCCTGTAGTGACCGGGAGCTCATGTTCTACCAAAGGGGTTGCCAGTTCTGATTTTGGTGGCAGTGAAAAAGAGAACAGCACTTGCTGCCAGGTGGGAGCTGGTTTGCACCCTCACTCCAGAAGCCTTGGTGTTGCTAGGAGCTGGCCTGGCATCAATAGTGAGGCTATGGTGGTGTCCTGTTGAGCATAATAGTTTCACAAAGAACATCAGACAAGGTCACTCTGACTGATGGGTCGAGAAAAAGACCATAATTAAGCCTCAACACAGAAACAAGAACATTCTCCAAACCACAAAAATGACTGAGCACAACCCCCTCTCTTGCAGCATAAGTCACTGCTGCTTTTTGTTGTTGTTGTTTTTGTTTTGTTTTTGAAACAAATTCTTGCTCTGTTACTCAAGCTGGAGTGCAGTGATGCGGTCTCGGCTCAGTGCAACCTCCACCTCCAGGTTCAAGCAATTATCCTGCCTCAGCCTCCAGAGTAGCTGGGATTACAGGCGCATACCAGCATGCCTGGATCATTTCTGTATTTTTAGTAGAGATGGGGTTTCACCGTCTCTGGGGTTGCCCAGGCTGGTCTTGAACTTCTGACCTCCGGTGATCTGTCCGACTCAGCCTCCCAAAATGCTGGGATTACAGGTGTGAGCCACTGCACCCAGTCACTGCGGCATCTTTACCAAGAACAGTTTTAGCTTGATTCATTCCTCCCATTGTCTAGATGAGAATTATGAAGATAACCAAAAAGAATGATCCCTACTTCCTGATAGCATCCAACCCAGAGCAAATGCCCCCCTTTTTTAACCCACCTAGGAATTCGCCTAACACAAGCCCCAATCTTGTAGTAAGTCCTTTCACACATTCTCTTACTGAGATGTCCGTGGTGTTCAGCCTCCCTTGTTCAACTATAGGTGCTTCCTGGTTGTCCTTGGTTGGAGGGTACTATCAGAAATGGAAGAGCAACAAAGATTCAGCTGAAGTCCTCACTGCCTTGGACTGAGACCTTTGACACATCATTGTGTGCACATCTGAAACCACTTATATCTCTGAGGTGCCATCCTGCTGATGGCTGGAAGATAAGTGCTCAATGAATGGAGTTCTGATATTTTGTTGATAGCCTTAAGCATTGGGTTTATTTATTCTTTTTTTTTTTTTTTTTTTTGAGACAGGGTCTCTCTCTGTTGTCCAGTCTGGCGTGCAGTGGTATCATCTCAGCTCACTGCAACCTCTGTTTCCCAGCTCCAGTGATTCTCCAGCCTCAGCCTCCTGAGTAGCTGACACTAAAATTAACTAATGTCAGTTATTTATTTATTTATTTAGGTAGAGATGAGGTTTCGTCATGTTGCCCAGGCTGGTCTCAAACTCCTGAGCTCAACGTGGTCCTCCCATGTCAGTTTCCCAAAGTGCTGGGATTATAGGTGTGAGCCGCCACACCCTGCTAAACATTGGGTTTATTTCGTTTTTCAATTTTTTCACTCCTGTAATAAGGTCCCCACCCTGGATATTTAGTTATCTGACCAGATTTTTATTTTGTCCTTGGTGCAATTGTTTTCTGTCCTTCTACACTCATTCCTGTGGTGTCTTCTTGTCTAGTATTTTGAATGTTGTTTGTCTATAAGAGGCAAAGTTGGGCTGGGTGCGGTGGCTCACCTGTAATCCAAGCCTTTTGGGAGGCCAAGATGGGTGGATCACCTGAGGTCAGGACTTCAAGACCAGCCTGGCCAACGTGGTGAAACCTGTCTCTACAAAAAGACAAAAATTAGCTGGGCATGATGGCAGGTGCCTGTAATACCAGCTACTTGGGAAGCTGAGGCAGGAGAATCACTTGAACCCAGGAGGCGGAGGTTGCAGTGAGCCCAGATTGCACCATTGCACTCTAGCCTGGGTGAGAAAGCAAGATTCTGTCTCAAAAAAAAAGGCCGGGTACTGTGGTTCCTGCCTGTAATCCCAGCACTTTGGGAGGCTGTGGTGGGTACATAACCTGATGTTTGGGAGTTTGAGACCAACCTGATCAACATGGAGAAACCTCATCTCTACTAAAAATACAAAATTAGCTAGGTGTGGTGGTGTATGCCTGTAATCCCAGCTACTTGAGAGGCTGAGGCAGGAGAATCGTTTTAACCCAGGAGGTGGAGGATTCAGTGAGCAGAGATCGCGCCCTTACACTCCAGCCTGGGCAACAAGAGCAAAAGTCTGTCTCAAAACAAGAAAAAAAGAGGCAAAGTCGATATGAAAAGGATGGATGTAGGCCGGGCTCGGTGACACAGGCTTGTAATCCCAGCACTTTGGGAGGCTGAAGCTGGTGAATCACCTGATGTCAGGATTTCAAGACCAGCCTGGCCAACATGGTGAAACCCCAATTCTACTAAAAATACAAAAATTAGCCAGGCATGGTAGCAGGCACCTGTACTCCCAGCTACTTGGGAGGCTGAGGAAGAAGAATCACTTGAACTCAGGAGGCAGAGTGTGCAGTGAACCGAAATCATGCTATTGCACTCCAGCCTGGGTGACAGAGCAAGACTCTGTCTCAAGAAAACAAAAACAAAAACAAATGAAAAAAACAGAAAGAATAATAAAAGGAAGGATGAGCAGCCTCGAATGCCTAAGGGTATCACAAATCTATTATTGCTGAATCTCTGGTGACTAAACACAACTGGTCCCTCTAGAAAGGTAGGGATGCCAACTGTTGAGGGGTTGTGCAATTAGTTAGCATCCCAGAGTCTTATTTGTTACCAGAAGTAACTAGAGAAATCACTCCAGCAACCAAGAGCCAGTAAATCTGTCCTACAACCAGCCCCAGAAACTGTACAATTCAGAAGCTGTTCTCAGACTAAAGTCCTTTGGATAAACTTTGCCCAGGTCACCATTTCTTTTTCTTTCTTTTTTTTTTTTTTTTTTTTTGAGATGGAGTCTCGCTCTGTCACTCAGGCTGGAGTGCAGTGGCATGATCTCAGTTCACTGCAACCTTTGCCTCCCGGATTCAAGTAATTCTCCTGCCTCAGCCTCCTGAGTAGCTGGGATTCTAGGCACGCGCCACTATGCCCAGCTAAATTTTGTATTTTTAGTAGAGATGGGTTTCACCATGTTGGCCAGGCTGGTCATGAACCTCAGGTGATCTGCCCATCTTGGCCTCCCAAAGTGTTGGGATTACAGGTGTAAGCCACAGAGTTTTACTCTTGTGGCCCAGGCTGGAGTGCAATAGTACAATCTTGGCTCACTGAAACCTCCGCCTCCTGGGTTCAAGCGATTCTCGTGCCTCAGCCTCCCGAATAGCTAATTCAGGAGTAAAAACAGGTGCCCACCACGACACCCGGCTAATTTTTTTCATTTTTATTAGAGACAGGGTTTCACCATGTTGGCCAGGTTAGGCTCGAACTCCTGACCTCAGGTGATCCACCCGCCTCAGCCTCTCAAAGTGCTGGGATTACAGGCGTGAGCCGCCATGCCGGACCCCAGGTCACCATTTCAAAACCTTGATAAGGATTTCTTTGGTTTTGTCTATGTCCTTGCAAACTGCTTTGTTTCACTTCTTCTGCTCAGAATCAGGAGGCTTTCTCTGGCCTCTGATCAGTGATGGTGTTTGGCTACATTCTAGAGATACAAAATTGTACAAGCACC